TGACCCGCTGCACTGGGCAAGCGATGCTCTTGGAAAGCTTCCTTCCTCCATATGAGCGGCCGTCAAAAATATGGAAGAGCAGACTGAAGAACTAGACTGTCTTTGAGTACTGCAGGTGTACTACAAGCGAAGACAATCCAGCCAGGAGCCGAAATGAGGCATTTCCAGCACTAAGATTGTACTACAAGCGAGCACAATCAAGCCAGGAGCCGAAACTTTCAAGTGCTAAAGTCATATTACAAGCAAGCACAATCCAGCCAGGAGCATCCCGGCAGGCATCCCGACATGGGTTTTGTTTGATCTGCAGAACGATAGGGGACCCACAAAGAACGGTAACCCCAAGATCAATGTCCCTTCGCCAAGCCAGTAATTTTGACCGTGGCTTGTATGAAGCACTTTTGCCCGGCATGGTGATGGTGTCAGGCCTTCCAATGAACTCTACCACCTGGTACAGTAGTCTGCGGACGGCAGGGCAACTCCAAGCAGGAATCGACTGGTTCGAAGAGAACCGTCTCAAGAAGTCTGGTGGTCAAGCCCCGTCCTTGCCAGAAGACCCGTCCGAGAGTCTGGACTTGTAGTTTTGCTTGGGCATTGGCTCCTTAAAGGGTTTTGGACGTCTCTTAGCCCCTTGAAGGTTTCCTCTTTCCAAAACGACACAGAGCACTTCTGCTCCTCTAAAGATGGTCTCGCTCCAGTGCTTCTGCTTTGCAACAACACGTAGGCACAGCTCTGCCAAGCCCCAAGCATAGCGCTGCCCAAACCCCAAGCGTAGAGTGCTTGGTGACGAAGGAAAGATCTGAGCAATCAGTTCGTTGGGGTGACGCTCAACCGAGGCTTCCTAGGGGCAACGTTTAGCAGCACACAGGGTCTCTCGGGAAGACACCATCTGCCGACAAGATTCTGATGCCACTGCATGTGTCATGAAAGCGATCCACTGCACATGTCGGTTGAGGCTGGAACCAGGCAACTTGCGATATTGGAACCAATGCTAGCTGGGCGGTTGAAGCACTGGTTCCTCAACGCACCGCAGTAGGATGAGTTCAAGCCTCCCAAGGCTTAAGGCCGTAAGATTCACACAAAGCGCTGTCAGCTGTGTAGCTGGTGAAGTTCCCTATCCTCGAACTTGGTTTCGGTGTCGAACTTTATTACTGCTGTCGTATGCCGCATTCGGTGATGAAACTTGAGACCGGGTCGAATAGGAAGGCCCTTCTGTTTCAAATCAAAAAGCACGGCGTAGTGTGCGCACAGCCCAGTCACAGGGGTGAATGCAAGCGCGTGCTCTCGCTGTATACTCGCATCAGCTGAGAGTGATGTGCGACCAGCTTTTGGACGAGTTTCCGACTGCAGTGTTGAGTTCGGATCCGGAACACGTTTGGGCGGCCAAGGTTACGGGGCCTTGTGCACAGGTTAGATGTTTAGATCAGTTTAGTACCGAGTGTGGGTGAAAGATAGTGTCAGGCAAATCAAGATGGAGAGGGTATTCGTTCCGTCGGACTAAATGCTTCAGGCATGAGCCATGAGTCGTGTGCTGTGTGTTCCTTCTTGCTCATAGGTCCTCACCGGGACGAAGGCCGTCGTGGAGAAGGCCATGGCTGTGGGTCCGCAAGCAGGTGCGGCGAACATCACAGCTCGTTCTTGTTTGATCCAGTGACATCTGTAAGGATTGCGGTCGGTGGCGGGCCCAGGGTTTGGTTTGGTTTCGCTTCATTTCAAGGCACGAGTGCTGTGACCATTTGAAAGCGTTGCAAGGAGGAGGAGACTGCGGCGGCCTTTGTGGGACGGTTGGTTGCGCTTGAGGCTGTCATAGATGTGCAGTCGCGATGAGGCGGTTCACCCTCGTCGCATCCGAACCTTCAAGGTACGGGTGTCGGAGTTGAGTGGCACACCTCGCAGAGGGTAAGTCCGGATCTGGCATGTGTGTGGCACCCCTGTTGCAGGTCTTAGACAATCCCTTCGCCAAGACCAACGGGCAGGAGACCTGGGGATCTGGTGTCAAGCTGCCTGTTGCAGCTGTACTAGTTTAGAAGCGAGATCAATGGGCGTGTCTGACTGTCGCCGAGGTATAACACGCCCCAAGGCTTGCTGAAGGAAATCGTCCGATCCACAAGGTGCAAGATGTGCAAGCAGCCTTTGCCATCTGTGGACTCTGGATCCGATTCAGAGCAACCTCGCCAGGAAGTCTGACGACGAGGATCGTGTCCTTTCCTGATCCGCTTGCTGCGAGTTTTGAATCTCTTTGCCTCCTCGCAGGATGGAGATGAGGCCGCTGATGCTCGCTTGAGACGCTAAGACTTTTGCAGGGGTCGAAAATAGGCGTCCTGACACCAGTAGCCTCAAAAGCGTGGCATGATCGTAGTCGTAGGCTGTCGTTGGGCTGATGGTTGCTCCTCCCTGGCAGGTTCGACGAGAGGACTGAGCTGGGCCTCCGCCCGTGTCGAACAACAGGTGGTGCAAGAAGCGCCGCCTCTGCTAATGGACGGGTGAGAGGGCCCCTTTCGAGCAGCGACCGCCATGCACTTCTGCCCTTCGCGCTGGGACGGGAAGGTGTCGGTGTGGACGGTGCCTCCTTTTTCAAGCCTGTAAGTGTAAGAGTCTCATCCGCGCAGACGTTTGTGGTGGAAGCTGGCTTGTCCCTCGGATAATGCATCCTTGCGAGCCGGGCAACGAAATCTGTTGCAGGGACGCAAGCGCGAGTGCCAAAAAGGCTCTTCTGCGACGCACTCGGATGCCAGATGCAGTGGGAAGGTATCCGACCCCCGAAAAACCCCTGGAAGTGAAGCCGGCATGCTAGGAACAGCAAGTCCGAGTAAGACCCAGAGCACTTCTTATGGTCATAGTTATTTTAATGGTGACTGTGATGATGGTGGTCATAATTTCTTATGGTCATGGACACGTTCATGGTCTGGGTCGTGTCATGCTCATGTTCATGGTCATTGTAACGGTGATGGCCTTTTCTGTGATGTATTTTGGTGCTGTTCAACACCTTCTTTGACATTTACATCATTTACATCAGATGTTGTATATCGGATGTTGTGTTCTTGGTTGCTATGTGTGCTGTTGTTGATTTTGGTAGTGTGTTTGCTATACCGTTGGTATAGGCATTGTGATTCATTTCTTTGTATTCCATTTTGCTGAGCAGCCAGAAAGAATTCTCGACATTTGATGTTGTATATTGGCTTTTGTGTTTGTGTTTGCTTGCGCCTGTTCGCCGAACCATGTATTGTGTTTTGCTATACATTTGACGGAGCATTTGTATATGCAAATCCCCTAGAGTTTGATGGTTTCGTCTTTGTCTGGTTCTCAATCGGGGCCCTAGTTTGTCCATGCTTTGTCTCCCAGTGGTTCTTATAGGGTTTGCAAATTGGTCTCAGTTGTTCCGTTTTAGTGCTTCTGAAGTTCCGGTCAGGCCCCCTTCACTCGGGTCAGGAGCTTGCACGTGGGAACGTTCCAAAGTGTTACGGAGTATTTTGTCGGATGTTCGGGGTTAGGGAACTTCGTTGGATAAGTCGCTCCGGCCTGGGAAGCCTGTGCCGGGCTGAAGAGCCGGATAAGGACCCAACCCGTCACACATTTGACCTTGACATGAACCGGGAACAGATAAGGGCGAAACTAGGATCCAAATCCCGGCCCGGATGAGGGCCAAATCCGGGACCCAAATAAGTGCACTTTTGTTGCCTAAGCCGGACCGGATAAGAGAGACCCAGGCAAAGGGCCAAATGTGCCGAGATTCCTTTGGGATTTGGTGGCAAGGATTTGTGCTGAAGGCCACATCTGGCCCGGATTTGGCTTTTACCCTGGACGGATCGGGCCTGGATTTGGCTTTTATCGCGGCGGATATCCTCGAGGGTGTAGGCACAGCTCTTGACGTGTTTAATCTGTGCTTAATTAGCATTTCTTAGTGATTGGCAGTACATTGTGAGCTAGGGAGGATGCACGTTGACGATGACGATGATGACAATATTTGCCCTTGCTGTGCCTAAACCCGAACATGCCCATAGTCGGCCCAGGTAAGAACCAAACGAAGGCCCAAATCAGGCTCAACTCTGGCCCAACTGAAGGCCCAAGTACGGCACAAGTAAGGCCTCAAATGAAGGCCCAGCTAAAGCCCAAATATCGCCCAAGTCAACGTCTGAAGTCGCAGGCATTTGCCACGACAGGGGCATGGGTCCCTGCAACAAGCAGTGTGCAGTCCCGCAGCTTTTTTGGCTTTGATGCCAGCGCTGGTCACATGCAATCCGAAACATAAGCACCTGGATGTTTCCCCAGGACGTAAAGCCGAGCTACACCAAGAAACCCTGCGACAAGCAAGCCTTGACGTCATGTCCGAAGATCAGGCAGCCTGATCCTCCCAATCCGAGCATCCCAACACCCGACCCCTTGCAAGGGGGGATTGCAAGACAGACTTGCTACTAGTAGCCCTTGTGCCCGAACCCTGCCCACCTTCGCCAAGTCCGCCAATCAGGCGTGTAGCAAGAAGATCAAAAGGAAACAGCTCGTGCCGAACATCGCAATCCTAGTGCAATCATTGCAACCCGTGGGCTTGGATCGCTGCGTTTCGGCGCAGGGCCATGCCAAGGCAGGGCCCTGCCAAGAAAGTGTTGCTTCCGTTGGTGGGGTTGTTGTGTGGCTTTTGCCTTGTGCTGCTGTTGTTGTTGCTGCTGCACATGCTGCAGCCATTGTACTTGCTGTCGCTGCTCCTATTCCTCCTATGCTTCCTTTCACTTATCCGATTCTCCTTACGATGGAATTGCCGTCTTGCGGTAGCAGATCTCTCTAGTTCTGGATGCAGCGGTTACGGGCCTCTGTAGTCGCGACATGCAATGTATGAGAAGGTTTGTTGTTAGAGATCTTCGTAGGCGCTGTGTTGGTCTGTCTTTTCTTCTAAGTCGACCTACGCCGTCCGTCGTCGCCGTAGCTGCTACAAGCAAGTCGGCGGTGCCACCGCGAAAACTGCAGTAGGCAGTGTCGTTGTGATGATGGTGTCGCATTTCGCCGTCCCCATGTTTGTCGTGCAATTGACGCGTCCCAGGCCACGGGAGAAGCTCGGTTGGTCGGGTCCTCGGGGCCACAGCCTCGCGGCTCTGTTGTTGAAGAGGGTTGAAGCCGCCGGATCCTTCATGCGCCTCTCGTTCGTGCATCATCCCGGATTCCCCTAGCCAGGTGGTCTTGGCTGCAGGGGCTGCGGACGAGGTACAGCAAGGTCTGCGGAACTTGAATAGGTTCCGGGGGTACTGGACCTTGCGATGTGCTTCTCGGTTGGAAGCCCGCGCTTCCGATCCATGCGTAAAGGGCTCGCATTGGCGCAAATCCGTGGAATCATGCCAGCGCACAGGTGCCCAGCACCGTGACGGTGGACCAATATGTCCAGACAGGCGTTGTCACAGAGCGACCCAGGCCGTCTGCTGGAGTTTCATCTTTAAGATCACCGTAGAGTTGCTTTACAGGTCCAGCCGTGAGTAGCATCGTGTGATTATGGTGATGCTGGTGTGCTGGTTGTGGTAGTCGGAAGGTTAACGGCGGTGGACGTGGAGTGCACTCAACATCGACAGCTCAACATCGTTCGATGTTTCGAACGTCGTGCTCACAACCAGGTTAGTCAAATGATGGGGAGACGGGTCAAGAGACGCAGGGCAAGTCGACATAGCCAATGTATTCAAATGCTGGAGACCCGAGTGAATGTTTCTAAACGCATCTAACTTATATCCTATAAAACAATATACAACATATGTGACCGTTGAGGTGGTCTCCGTCTCGGGTGCTTCGACGGCCCCCGACTTCCTTACAAGGAGCCAGTGCCTTACACAATTCGACGTGGACGATGTGGACAACTCGGAGGGTAGGATTTCGGTTCAAGAGAAAACCTTGCTGTGAAATCTGTGAACCATCTGCCAGATCCCTGCTCCAGCTTCTTGTAGCACAAACAGAAGGTGGCCATCCATCCTGCTAGGTTCTGCGCTGTTCTATGTTTTTCTTTCTCAACGCTCTGATGTTCTACTACACCATCACCCACCTTTCTTGTAATGCCCAAGCAAGGATTCTGAGAGCAATGTGGACTTCAGATCCCCCGCCGCTGGGCAGTTTTCAGGGCTTCGGCTTTAGGTATTTGACACGGACCGTCTACACTTCGGGGACAATGCTTTGGCCGTTCCTGAGGAATACCGGGCCCGAGTGACCGCAGCCAAGATGATGGGCACCCTGAAAGCGAAGGCCTTGATCCCCACATCCTTTGCGGGGATCAAAGCCGTTGCCTAGCCACGAACCAAACTTCTACTTCCCTAAACTGGCCCAGGAGCCCTCCCAAGTGCACCTGGACCAGTCGCTCTACGGCTCGGCCTTCGTCTTGCAAAGAGCCCAGGGAACAGGGAAAAAGGGCTCCATGTGCTCACTGGCACGTGACCGAGGCCACAGCTCGCGAGATCCGCGTGCTGGCCGAAAGAGCTGACGGTGCCCTTGCTGAGTGCTGTGGATGAGCTTCGGTGTTATCAGGTTCTCACAAACAACCGAGTTCAGTTCTCACAGACATCCAGCTCCCTGTTCCAGGTGCTCGTGATCAAGTCCTATTTCTTGCTGTCTGGCACCCGGCACATTGCGTCAACTGGGCTTTGCCAGTGCTCTTGCAGCGCAGGCTTCTCAACTACGTGGCGCAGTTTGCCATTTTGTACATGATCGCAAAGGTGCGGCGGCGACGAATGCCACGAGAAATATCGAAAAGCTGCTCCTTTTCTGGGGCTTCTCGCGATGCATGCTCCGTGAGGAAGAGATGATCTGGGATCTCTTCTCCGGCCAAATGTTCTTGTGCGCTTTGCCTGAGTTTTTTCTAGACGTGGGACCACGCGGCACAGGTTCTCGGTTTGAACGGGTAATGTACCGGGTGGCAAGCACGGCCTCCAGCCTTCAGAGCTGTGATCGTGAGGTGACTTTGGTACAGATTCTCCTTGTGGTTAGCTCAGATCAGGAGAAGTCTTGGCAGCGTGGAGATTTTTTGTTTCGTATCGCCCAGCTTGCCCGGACGGGCCCAACTGCATTGGCCCCGGCGGTACCGTCTTCACCTCGATGAGGCCCGCCCGCGTGCAGTGGTGAGAGGGGGGACTGGCGATTACACTGCAACCAGGTACTACAGCTGGAACCAGTGGATCTCCCGAACCTTTGCGAGAGACTCCATGAGGGTGCGCTGCTTTTCCTTGGAGCGCAAATGGCTTGCACTCGTCCTCAGAAGCAAGCGCTACTGGCACAGGCAGTTTTCCCTGAGAAGGCTGCTGACATCGGAAAGTGGCTTGGTTTTCAATGTAAGATTTCACGTTCTAACAGAAGCACCTCTCTTTGTGGTGTTGCATGCTCCATGCTGAGTTAGGTATGTGGATCCCGGGGAGTACGGCGTGGAAAGTAAAAATTGCGACTTGGCAGCTGCAGCGACGAATTCAAGCCCTGAAGCCCATGGAACCGGAGACGGATGCAGTGACTTTCATGTTTTGAAGCACCGTACCCATCAAGCTTCTGAGCAAGGCCGCATACTCTGCTGCATGCTCTTTATTGTCAGTGTGCTGGATGACGTGATGCTTGTCTGCAGGCAGTCTGCGGGGTCAAGATGCTTCAGGATGTGTTGATTCTGCCGATTTTCTGGCTCCCAGCATCCAAGGATCGGTACATTCAACATGGCCAGAGTTCTGGTAGACGTGCCCACGCGGGTGGTGTCCTTCTATCGTTGCGTCAGTGTCAACCCAGTCTTGAGCTGAAAGTCAGTTCCGCCGGATTGTGCCTCTTTGACGCAAGGCGGACCTCTGGATAGACTACGAGCCTCCCGGTGAGAGCTGGGCCAGCAAGGAGCACCAGAGAACACTTCCCAACCACAGTGAAACTCAGGGAAATATCCGGGCTTTCACGGCTGAAGGGAAGGATTTGGGACCAGAGTTATTCAGGGTGTATGGGCTCGAACGGACGCGAGCGGTTGAGCTACATAATTTGGGTGGCAGCAGGGGCCCCACTGACAACGTCGACCGTCTTCCTCTGAAGGACCATGCCAAGACCATTGCTGGCAAGACTGAAATCGACTTTGTGAAGCTGAAGATCGCAGGCACGCCGCACGACACCCTCCTAACAGGAGGCTTTGAAGAAAGTCAACAGGCATCTTCTCCTGCGCTTGAAGGAATGCCCTTGTTCTGGAAGATCGTGAACGTCGTCATCATCCTGCCAAGCGCCGAGAGTCCCGAAGAACGACCGAAAAGAACGACTGGAGCGAAATTCCATTTTTCTCCCAGGCTGCCGAAGATGATTCTCTGGAAGGTCACCGCGCAAGCGGGGATCTGTTTCCTAATGGAGACCCAAGGCCAGGGCCAGGGCGGCGCTTCTTTGCCTTCAGCTTCAAGCTTTCACACGAGCTTGGGGTCCGCTTTTGGGCAGGCATCGAGGATGTGGTGGTCAACGCTGTGGGCCTTTCTTTCATCCTCCAAATCGATGAGCTCCTGTGCTTGGAGCACCTTGGTGAAAGTTGGCCAAGACGCCATGTCTTGGACTGGACTGCTATATAACATCTTCTAGCGGCTCTAGTGCAACTACCCGGGGTTTACGTTGCCATCTGCTTCCTGGTTCCGCGGGCGAGTCTCGAGGCTTATGCCCTGGTCGGCGTGGGGAGCTAAGCCAAGAAGCTCCAAGAGTGGGACAGCGCTTGAACCACACCTTACTCATGGAGCTCAGGGTCCAGATCCTCCACAAGCTCGAGGTCCACCTTCTCGGGGAGATCCAGGAAATTGAAACCCTGGACCGGACCTTGTAGGAGTTTACTAGAACCCACGTCTCAAAGCAAACCATGTGGCAACCATAGTATGCAACGGCAGTTTCAGATTCGGCAGGATCATCTGTCGGACGAGGAGCTCTTTGCAAAGGCGCTTCTTTTTGCGTAGAGGGGAACAGGAAAACAAAGGTTTGGGGCTCGGTGCTGATTCTCCCTTCCTGCCAGAACCAAGAGCAAATCGACAACTCCTGGAGTGTCAACGACATCTACGAGATGATCCCTGTCAAGATGGTGGTGGCCATTGCCATTGCGCCGCTTGCCTCGATGAAAGAAAGCTTATAGATCCTCAGACAAAGGGAGCCGTGTAACCGAGCCAGGTCGACTTTCATCTGGCACTACTATGCCTTCCACTGCGTTCGCAACGAGGCCGGTGTCTTCGTCTTCCTTTGAGTCCCGACCCGAGCCGGACTGCAAACGATTTGTCTTGTGACGTCTTGAGGCTGGTGGCTCTGTCTCGCATCCCATGGCTCTGCCGAAGGGCACGGACTTGCCGCTGCTGAGCGCCTACCTGCTGCCGCTTTGCAGCACGAGTATTTGCGTCGCAACATGACTTTGAGTCTTCACCTCATTCACCTGAGTGCTGCCAGGGAGTTTGTGGGTTTCGAGCACGAGGCCACATGAGAGACTGGAAGGGGGTGCCAGGCATGGTGAAGCCTTAAAGCCTTGTGATCCACGGGCAGGATTCTGAGTTCTGGACGATGCCCTCCGTCCCTGGTCACGCTATATGACAAGCTGCCCTGATAGCGTCTTCACCCGGTGAAGGCCTATGGCTCGCCAGTTGAAGAACAAGCTTCCGCTTCGGGAGCCTGATATTGAACCTTCGTCGAACTGCCGGCATCAGATGCAAGCTTGTCACGAGAGAGCTCGATCCAAGAATAGTGGCTTGTGTGTGGGTTACAGCAGCGTGCGACTTGCGTTTGGGGACGGCGCTTTCGGTCTCGCTCGTGAAGCCGAAACTGGCTTCAACGTCTCACCTGCGGTACGGACCTGCCTGCCGGGTGCTGGTACCACAAGTGCGAGTTGCATGTCGTGGAAGTGGGTTGACTGGTCCAGCTTAAATGCAAGTCAAGAGCTTCGAGCAAGAGGAGGTTGGTTGCTTTCGTCTCCAGCGTGTGCCTCTGACTACGGGGGGATTTTTCCAGAGACTGGCTCTCCTGCCGGAGGCGGTGAGGGCCAAAAAATCGAAACAATGGACGAGCAAATGGCTTACGCCATGGCGGAGTTCGGAGACTACGGCGAGTGCTTCGTCGCAGAGGAGCCAGAGGCACTCCCACTCCGTGCCATGCCTGTGCCACACGCACGCGTGAGTTGCTTGTCGTGGGAGTGAAGGTCAGGACGATCTCCATGGAGGAGGTGGCGAAGCACAGCTCGCCGGAAGACTGCTGGGTCGTGCTCTATGGACACTTCGGTCGCAGGGAGTTGATAGACACCTGTAGTTACACACATAGCAACCAAATAGAGACCTGAGGACGGGTCTATGACCTGACGAAGTTTGCACTGGGGCACGTGGCTTGGCTGATGCTTGAACACACGTTTCAGTATCACGATAAGGGCCTTTGTTCGAACTGCGGTGTGGGGTGTTGGGGTGGTCTTCTTGACGTTCGGACGTTGTCTCGTGACTCCAAGGTGGGGGGCAGCAAGCTGATCACCGACCTGGCCGGGAAGGATGGCACCGACGTCTTCGAAGCCTCTCACGGCGAAAACGTGCTGAACAGCATCCGCGGCGAGTGCTGCGTTGGCGAGGTGGCAACCGACGTCACAGTCAGCAAATGCAGAACTTACGATGAAGAGCATGGGAACGTGTAACAGTGATGTGTGTCACGCCTGTGCAGTTCAATCGGAACGGGACTGACGGGGAGCGGTTTCGCTTTGCCTTGTGCAGGTGGATGCAAGCACCGTCTTGGAAGAGCATCGCGTGACGGCGACGCTGCGTGCGCGTGCCTAGGCCTTGAGCTTTCCTGAGTCGAGATCACGGGAGCACTGAAAATCCAATCGACTGAAAAGCGTAGGCTCTGTAGACTGCAACCGATCCACTTTTAGCGGGAAGGGTGGTTGTTCGAGAGTTTTGGCCCCGTGGTCGTGCTCCTGCGACTCGATACCGATAATGTCCCACCCGCGCAGGGCATGAGCGGGCAGCTGTGCATAGAACCCATAATATGAGACCCATAAGCGCCCATGAAGACTGTAGGTGGCAAGCGGGGCATCCGCGGGGAGTGTCAACTTTGACCTATCGTCATTGCTGCTGTGGTCCGCTTGTATCGTGCTGGTACTCATCTTGCTGGCGTTTCGCTTTAAGTTTCCCAAAGCGGCCCAGCATCGGGATGAACACCGCATCTAGATGTGGTCAAAGGCCTTCTGTTCGGGAGTCTGGCGCCCGTGCAATCGAAACATCTCCAGCAACACAGCCAGCATTAGACTGTTATCAACAGAGCCTTCGTGTGCCTGCTGCCTGGACAGACTCCTGGAAGGCTCATGTTTCTTCTGCATTGCGTTCGTCCCATTGCATTGACCACCGACCATGTACAGCTTCAGAGTCACATTCATACCACTTCGCTGCGGTTTCTGGCACCGCCCCAATCCCGAAAAGGTATCCGTTCCCGTGTGACTTGCTCAGGGCGGTGAGATCTAATCTGCTGCAAGCCACATGCCGGTGTTCATCTGCTGCTCAGCTTGCGACACCATGCGGCACCTGCATCTGCAGTCACCGGCTAACGAGTGGGGGGGCAGCTGCTCCCTGACTACGACTCCCAACCCGGCCCCGAAGCTTAGGTGTCCCACCTAAACCCACCCGGCTCTGGCATCAGCAGCACTAGCAATCACTAGCACAAGCCTTCTGGCGCCACATGGCGAGCACTGAGCGAGCTGTGAGGCTGGGCATGGCAGGGCTCTTGAGTGATAGCTGTTCCCTGCTGGGTTCGAGCGATGGAAACATGCGGCAGGATGAAAGACAAAGAGTTTGACTGCATATGGTGTCCCCAAGTGCTGTGGTTTTGGCGTACAGCATCTCGTTCCTAATTATCCTAATTGCGTGAATATAAATACCAATACACTATACATGCTCTACATGACATATGCTCCCGTACTTCCTGCTATAATTCTGTCCGTGCACGCTGCACATAACCGTGCGGAGTGCGAGTGCCTCCCATGCAGGTAGCCACCTCGGGGAGACAGGCGTGATGACGCGCCCGGGACCCCACCAGGGCCGGGGATTTTCCTGATCTGGACGCCCGGAGACTTCCAAGGCCGTGCCGCGCCCGACAGCGACGGCACCAAGGCAAGAACCCAGAAGCCCAAGCGAGAAAAATGCAAGGAGGGCGCTTGTTTTTCACCCGCCCCCCTCCCTGAGAGGCCACAGCGCGGACAGGCCTGGGAAAACAGATCTCTCGGTCCGAGTGTTTCACTTTTGGTCAGAGGTCCAAAGCTGGCTTTCCGCTTGGTGGACCGCGGCAAGGCCTGCCCAAGTGACAATCAAACCTCGAAGCCTTTTGTCGGAAGTTATTCTGTCGCCGGCAAACGAGATGTGCAGCGAGTTGTTACAGCAGTGAGAGCCAGGCTAAGCAGCCAGACGTATATGCTGCGCACATTGCCTCCGAGCATTGAGCTAGTGAACCTAGTCAACATCGTGTTCTGCAAATTCCCTTGCTAGCTTAAGGCGTGAGGTTACTGGACTGGCATTCATGCATCGAGCTCCTCCAGCTGAAGCCAACGCCGATGCTCTTATTGTATCGGTGCTCGCTGGTCCCTTACACCAAGTGCGCAGGCAGACTCGATGTTGACGATACCGGCTGTTGCAAGTTGCTGCTGCCTAGTGACCTAGTGATGAAGTTGGTGGTACTTGTGCGCCGTCGTTCGTTTCATGTCACGATCCTTGCTGAGTTCGGTTGTAGAGGATTGCTCCATAATCTCGACAGAACGGTTAGAAGAGTCAGAAGAGGAACCGACAACCTGAACTCCAAGTTGAAGCCTAAAACCTACTGACACATCCAAACCCATTCCAGTCCGTTGTTGGCTTCACATCAAGCCGCAACTCTTACCCGTGCCAGGCCGCAGAGTCCACAGCAGGCGGGGTCTAGGGCTTATGGCTCTATGGGGGCCATACTGGCTTTCTTTCCCAGAATAGTTTCGTCCGTGGTAAGACTTGCTGGTTCCGAGATGTCGAGTCTTCTGGGGGGAATTTGCGAAGTTGGGCAGCTAGGGGACTCGATTGGATCCTGCCTTCACTGTCTCGGCCGCACGAGGTGACGACGCAACTTGGCAACCACTGAAGTCGTTTTTGAGTTATTTCTCGTGGGTGGGGCAGGAAGGATAATTGTACAGGAAAGCAGGCATTCAGAAGAGGGATTGCATTTTGCGATTCTCATTTCTGCCCGCTTGGGAACCTCCCTGCCACGAGGGTTGAGCGGACGCCAGCCCAGCCTGTTGGCGCTCTCACTTTGCGGGGTATGCTAGGTCCTAGGTGCGACGATGCCCCAAAGATGACAAGTGTTTCGGGTCTGAAGCGAAGGATCCCTGGCCAAAGCCGGCCAGGCCTGAAGCACCCCCTCACCCAAAAGCCCTCTCACGCATCCAAGGCACTCCCGTGCCTTGCTCGCAGTTAAGCCTTCGTGTGAAGAGTTAGTTCTGTGCCAAACGGTGCAGCTGCCCCATGCTGCACGCATTGCACCGCCTGCGATGGCAGGGTGCGGTCTCCGACGGATGTCTTGGGTGCCAAGGCCGGGCGCGCCGGCGAGGAAACGGCGGAGCCTCAAGGCCACGGCGACGACGCCAAAACCTGAAACTGTGACTGTGAAGTGCCAGGACGACGAGCAGCTGCGGAACCGACGAAGCTTCACCGTGGAGGCTCGGAAGGCACAGCCCCTCGCAGCCACAGCATGATCCGGACTGAACTGTCCAGGAGCTGGCAGCTCTGGCTGCGCTGGCAGGTACGGGACTACAGGCGGCATGGTTGCCGGTTTGAAAAACATGGTCTTCATGGGCTCACAAGCCCTTTGCTTATGGTGACTTTGTTCCTGTTTCGGAACATCTTGCCACCACAGCACGAAGCCCTTGGCAGGCCACGAAAGCGGCAGCCGCTGATGGCCTGGGCATTGCTGCAGCATTGCGCGGCAACCCAGTGCAGCGTCTACTGTACTCGCGTAAGCCTTTTCTGAGAGGCTGCCTTTTGTACCGCGGCGCGCGCGATGCTGGGTTCTGGGGTCACGTGTTGTAGCTCGCTCGTCCGACTCCTGGCGGTGTGGTAGCGAAAACAGGTGTGGGCAGAGGATTTCTGGGGTTTTGAGGATGCCAGGCTCTTTCGTCAAGAGCCTGCAAAGAACTGGGAGTCATGTTCCAGGACCGATCATATTCCTTCTCGTACGGGTCGAAACGCGCAATGAAGGGGGAAAGGTGGCTTTCATGCGAAGGATGCTGAGAAAGAGACGGGTCTCATGCACTCTTGCGTCGCAGGGCCTCGGCTCTGACCCCTTCGCGGAAGCTGGGCCTGGCAGAGAAGGCGGCGCTTACAAGATAAAATTACGAAAAATAAGAACAATAACAACACTAGTTATAATATTAACGACAACATTGATCGGCTTCGGCTTCTTCGGATGGGGGCTCAGGGTGTAAGCTTCGGCCGCTGAGCCCAGTTCTGCATGGCCCATGCCGAGGGAACATGCCAGTGCCAGGCTGGATAGCTGCTACAGCGAGTGATGGGTCAATCGCATGATGTCAGAAGTCGACTGCTGAAATAGCTATGAGCATGGCAATCCCATCCGTCCTGTAGAATCTGGTGCGCAAGGCTTCATTTCTATACATGTTGTGCACAAGGCGATGTGGTAAAGATGGCTCGAGACCTGTATGGAAGTTAAGCCTAACTTCGCACCAGTGATCGGCATGCGGAGGTACTGCTCAAGGCAATGCTGGAGCCAGCAGAAGCTGAGGAGAACTTCAGTCCAGGCGCACCAGGGCTCCATCGGCAGCTGCAAGACGGCCAAGAGCAGTACAGCCAGTGCAAATCATGATCGTGCAGCTGCGACTGCCAGTCCTGCAGGATGATGATCATCATGATGATGGCCCTAACATCTGTCTGTTAGATGTGTTCTGTTTCAATCACCCGATTCTATGATGACGCAGCAAGGCAGAACGTAGTCATAGGCAGAAGTCAACTTGTGGTGTTCTTCTGGTTGGCTCATGTTGGCTCTTCGGACTTTAATTTTTTGGTTCCTATATGAACTATTAACTATTATAAGGAGACTATAAGTCTAACTTTTTGGAGGGGTTCGGAAGTCAGCGAAGTCAAAACTGTGCCAAGAATCAGAAGACACACGTGCAGTGCGCACAGTGGTCGAAGGGTTCGTTGCACGTGTGTTGATTAAAGCTTACGAGCCCATCGAGGTTGTGGAGTAGACTTCAGCCATGGACGAGCCTGCCGTCGAGTCTGCCACCCCCAGCGACCCCACCACGGTGTCTGTCGAGATGGACAAGCTGCGTTTTTTCCTGGATTCAGAGTTTGCCCATCAGCGCGAGATGCGAGAGAGGCAGGATGGCCTGCTTGCTGAGATCTACGACAAGGTCTGTCAGATCCAGATCAAGCCGCTGCATCTGCGTCCTGAGCCGCGAACCAGCGTACCAAGTTTCGACGAGGAGCGGAGTATCGCATCGCTGTACTCGCCAGGAAGCCTGGAGGGCCCACGGGCCGGCGGGCGGGGCCGTGCGAGCACCGAAGGCTCGGTGTCATCTCCGATGGACGACTCGGGCAAAGACCACTCGGACGGTAACGGCTTGCAGCCTGATGATCGTCAGCTTGCAGAGAAACGAAAGGTGCGAGGCAGCTATCGGCACTCTTTCGTACGCAAAGCTCAGCTGAAGCACGAGGAAACAGCCGCTGCAGCTTCGCTTCACCTGGCGAGCCTCAAGGCGTACAGCCTAAATGCAGCACCCGAGACCGGCGCACTACGTGCCCTCGGGCAAGCAGTTGTCACATCGAGCGTTTTCACAGGAACGATCACGTTCTTGATCTTCCTGAATGTGGTGCTGCTTGGTGTTGAAGTTGATATGTCTGCAAACCTGGGGCAGGACCAGGTGCCTTTGTGGTTTGGAACAGTGAATGCCATTATCGTCCTGATTTTTGTTCTGGAGGTCTTTCTGAAGTGTCTGGCATATGGGTTGCACGAATTCTGGTGCGGTGCTGATTCCAAATGGAACATTTTTGATAGCTGTATCATCGCAGTCTCGGTCGTGGACACGAATGTAGTCCTCAACTCTTGAACAACGCCCAACAGTCTACGCCGTTGACCCTGCAGCTGTCAAAGGAAGGGCTCAGTGCTCCGTGCTGAGGATATTTGGGCCCAAATGATGGCCCATTCCATGGCGACTTCGACACATTTGCTCCTCGGAGGAGAAGCTGAAGCAATCTGAAGTTGCTGTCCTGAGGTGCAATTAAGGCTGTTATGTCTTTACTGTGGTGGCTTCTTGGCAGTCTTGCTAGACGAAGTTCCGTGTTTTGTTTCCCCCAAAGCCGAACACCCCTCTCGGCCAGTAAGAAGTGTAGTGCCGTGCCAAGCCCGCCAGCATGTGAGATATCGAGGCGCCTGATGCGCTCGCTGCGGTTGGCACGTGCACTTCGCGGTGTCCGTGTCGTTCGGCTCTTCCGACGCTTGGGCCGCCACGCTAGAGCTTTCGGCCGGCTGTAAATGCACCTAGCATTTCAGGCCTCATGGTTTCGGGTTCTGGCCTGCCGCAGTCATTGCCAGGGGGACTCTGTGTTCGCAGCCGGTGTCTGCTCAACACCTTCCCGCAGTCCCAACCTTGGGCTCTTCTATCACCCTGAGTCTTGAGGATTCTTTCCGAAGCCCTCGTTTTTGTGAGTATGCCCACATCACACGTGCGCCGGCCGTGGTTCTCTGCTCAGGATATGTGAGTGCCTTGCGAACCCTGGTGCTCTGCATCGTCAGCACCATGGCCTCTCTTGTTTGGACTCTGGTGCTGCTGGTCCTCATCTTCTACACCTTCGGGGTGATCCTCACCCAGGCCAGGCCGGAGCGAGAACGAAGTGCATGCGGAGCAGAGAGAGATGTGTGTATCAAACATGGTATATCCCTCAGCTGGTTACGGACCATTGCCGGGACGCCACTGTCCTCAACAGCGGAGATCTCAACGCCGTGCCCAGTTGTGATGCAAGCTTGGCGCGCTACTGGCAAAGTGCCGCTTGTCTGGTAAAGCGTTGAGGGCTTCTGCCTATGCTTGGGAATTCGTGGCACCCGCAGAGGTGCCCCACAGCATGCTCACCCTCTTCATGTCCATCTCTGGTGGTGTAAGCTGGGAGGACGCAGCTCCACTGTCTTCGCCACTGTCTGTCCATGGGCCAGTCAGCTGAAAGGACGCGCTGAGGCCCCTCGAGGCCGTCTCGCCGCTGGCCGCGGGGCTGATGGTCTGCTACATAGTGCTCACCGTCAGGCCCGTACTGTTGCAGGATGTCGCATTGTAGGCTTGCTCCGCTCTTGAAGCGACGCTCAGTGCAGTGGGGCGCTGTCCCTAGGTGCTGGCAGTCCTGAACGTGGTCACGGGAGCGGCTTTGCCGAAGCCTCCCTTTGCAGTTCTACTCTTTGCGTTCGTCTCGCAACCGCTGCAAGGACACAACACGAAAGCTTGCTGGAACTTGAGCAGAGCCACTTATTCATATTCATTGCCATTCTCCGCGCGTCAAGGTTTTCTGCAACACCGCGATTGAGAGCGCACATGCTGACAAGGACCGCTTGTAAGACTGGGTTCGGAGCGAAGACAGGCTACACTGTACTCAGTGCAGGACGCAGTCAGTATTCGCGCCCAATTCCAGATATACGTTGTTGCAATTCGACATGTCTATGTTTCTTTCCACAGCGGCTCATGTGGAGGCGAGGTAACATGTTAACATCACAGCTGGCAGCTTGTCCTTGATCTACTGAGCCAAGTCGTGTTGCTCCGCTGTCCAAGACATTAAGAAGACTGTTTCGTTTGCCTCAGCTGCAGGACGTCGCTGCTATCAAGCAGATCCACAAGCAGGCGGCACAAGTGCAGAGCTTGCAGCAGCTGGGCAAGGTCTTGCACACCGCCCTAGGATCCTCACTCGGAGGTTTGTGAGGGCGTGCCTGGACGGAGAACTGCAACGTGGTCTTGCAGGACCGCTGCAAGGCGCACGCCCACCATCCCCGTCCGTGTGGGTGCGTGCAGGAGTTCGAGGAGGCCATGAGCCAGCAGAAGCCGCCTGGCCTTCTCTGCAGATGCACTTGTAGTAGCATAGGCTCCCCCCGATCCTGAGGATGGCGAGCTTCCTGCAGTCCATGGGGATCTCGACGGGGCCAGCGCAAGCGGACATGGCACGAGACTTTGGTGCATCGCATTTATTGCCGGCGGTGCTGCCAAATTGCCCGCAAAGCCGACGTGCTTGCTGGCAAGGACTGCGTTTCGGGCTTCGTGCCGGGCACTTTGCATAAGATGCTTCGGCGACTCAAGGCCCGGCTGGAGGAGGACGGCGTCACCACCGAGATCCAGGCGGCCATCAAGCATACGATCGAGACCATAGAACCCAGCCGCCAGACGGAAGCGGCTGGGCAGCACCAGGTCGAGGCTGTGGCTTGGCCGGGGGAGGAGTGGACGGTGAAGTTCTTGTGCCATCGCTGCGGCACGTTGGCTGATGCTGAGGCCAACATAAAGGGCAAGTGCAGCCGCCTTGGGGTGCGGCGACCTATGCGAGCGGTCGGGGCCATGCGGGACATTGTGAGCGCAGAGGACGGGGCTCGAGCCAATTGGCCCGCTACAACCTCGAGCGCCTCGGCTACCCGATCCGGCCTAAGGACTCCGACACCGAGGCGGCGCAGCTTGCGGCGGGACTACGGCAGGGACCATGACGGGACCGAGCCGTGAACTGTGGGTGGGAACACTTAATGTGCAATCCCTCACGGGCAAAGTGGGGGCGGTGGCGGCGGCTGCAACGGCGGCGGGGGTCAATGTGCTGGCCTTACAAGAGACGATGCTTGCTTCTGACTCCTTTCGTGCCACCTTCCAGGCCTTCAGGGCGGCGGGCTGGGCCTTTCACCGTGGACCCCAAGGCCAGGACTCGCGTGGAGCCGTGGCGGCGGGCGTTGGCTTCATCACTGACGTGCCGGCGCAGCTCGTCGAGATCCCGGAGCAGTTGCAGCATGGAGGGAGGGTGGCAGCAATCACTTGCCCGCCGACAACAACGGCCACTTCTGGTCCTGAACGTCTACTTGCCGGCGGCGGACAAAGTACGTGGAAACACGGTGGCTATGGACGCGGTGCAGTGGGCTCGGGGGACTGGCGAGGACTTCGTCTTGCTGGGCGACTGGAATCGGCGGGAGGATGCTTTCCCGCTCGCCCGGCTTTTGGCCAAGGGGGTGGTCTGGACTGCCTGTGGACGAGCGCCGCCAATGGATGGGCGTGGCGGACCACGACTTGGTCTGTTACAGGCTGCGCGGCTACCCGGGCGAGAACGTCTGGCGCTGGCAACCACAACGGCGGCTACTACCAGAGGCGCGCGTGGACTGGGAGGACGTGTGGCAGGGCTTCTCGGAGGACTTCGTCGAGGCCGTCGTCCAGGGCAATGTGACGCAGGTGTGGCAAACCCTTTCGGCTGCGGCTGAGGAGCTCCTGGCGGATCCCCACGCCAGGACTGCGCGGCCGCGGGCCGTACCGGGCAAACCTGTTGCTCAGGAAAGACACCAGAGGGGCGGTGTCGAGACGTGCAAAGCTTGTGGGAGCGCCGGCTGCGCAGGGTGGCAACACGCGTGGAGGCGGAACTACACGGCCACTTTGGGGGCCAAGCTCAAGCGGGACCTGGCCACCTTTGCCAAGGACTACCCGGACCTGCTGGACATGCGATTACCAGGCGGTGGCCTTCTACCTCCTCACCAAGGCGGGCCAGGAGGCTCAGCGCGTGCGTGCATGCCGGGTGAGACGGTGGAAGGAGGGCATCCAGGACGATGTTGGAGCCATGGCAAAGTGGGTCACGGCAAAGGAGGCGGAGGAAGCTTGCACAACCAAGCAACTTGGGGAATGCCCGAGCAAGGGCGCGGTGGCGAGGCGCCTCACTGACTCCTTGAGTCAACTGTGGAGCGAGGCGGCGAGCGTGGGTGCGGCCAACCTGGAGGGCTTCCTGGGTGCTTTGGGCGGGGACCGGCCTCCACTGCCTGCTGGCTTCACCATCGACGGTCACCGCCTTCTTCGTCGCGCTCGCAAGGCCAGGGCAAAGGCGGGCGGCTTAGACGGTTGGACTGGAACTTTGTTTGCCCAGCTACCCCTTCCCTTCTTCGACCGCTTAGCCGACGTGTGGCGACTGGTGCTCGGCGGCTGCGGGAGAGGGCTGGCGCCAGGTGAGAGTGGTTGCCATCCCGAAACCCGACGGTGGCTCACGGTCACTAGCTTTGACACAGATGGCGTGGCGGGTGGGGTCGTCCGAGCTTCTCTCTCAGCTACTACGAGCCTGGTTTGGAGCCTGGATGCCACCTGAACTTTGCGGTGGCTTGCCTGGCAGGTCGGCGGACACCATCCACCAGGACCTCGGCGTCTTCGTGCAGCAACGGGCCACCTCGCGTTCCTTTGTGGGGTGCAAGGCCCACGTCCGCAAGTGCTTTGACAGGGTGTCTCCAACGGTTGCGCTTCGAGTTCTTCAGTGGTGGGGGGCGCCAACGTGGCTTTTGAAGGTGCTTGCGAGCTTCTACGACCAGCAGGAGCGCTGGGTGGCGGCGGCGGGCTGCTTCGCGCCTGCGCCAGTCCAGGCGACGTGCTCCTTGTTGCAGGGCTGCCCATTTTCGCCATTACTTGTTAATGGCATGATGGCGGCATGGGCCCTTCATGTCAAACGAGCAGTCCCTAGCATCCGCGTGGGGATTTTCCTCGACGACCGCACGCTTTACACCAAAGGCCACGGCTCCGTCGAGAAGCTAGTGGAGGCGGCGCAGGCAGGGCAGGTGGCGGACCAGGCCATGGGCTTTGAGCTCCATCCCGACAAGCTTTCGGCCTTTGGCAGCAACGTGGTGAAGCGCGAGGCTTTAATGGAGCACGCGGACCTCCTCGGCGTGCCCCAGACGGACTTTGTGCTTTTGGGCGTCAACTACAGGCTTGAAGGACACCAGGCTTTTGCAGCCAAGGACGTCGCAGCGGCGTTGCGCACAAGGGGCCGGCGCATCGGCCGCGTTGCGGTCTCTACGACGACAAGGGCGCGGCTGGCCAACCTGCTCATGGTGTCGAAGTTTCGCTTCAGGGCACCGTGGACTCGGTCCAGCAAGGCAAGCCTCCGCGACTGGTCCTGGCAGGTGGAGGCGGCAGTGTGGGGCGGGCCTCTTGCAACTGGCCGGTCGGCTGGACCTTTGTTGGCGTCGACGTGCACCCGGAGTTTGCAGTCGTGGCGGCGGTGCTCAAGAAGGAGTGGCTGCGGCTGGGCGCTGGCGGCGGCACAGGCGTGGCTGGCCCGCAGGTGGCTGCTGCGCTCGCTCAGGTGCGGTGGCGAGTCCGTGGCACCTTGTTTGTGACGCCCGTGGGCTCCTTCGACGCCACAGAGGTGACGGCCAAGGGCTTCCTGGAGAGGCTGAGGGAGGCATGGCGGCGCGTCCTCTGGGAGAAGGACAAAGACTTCCGGCCCGCTTGGTGCTCAGCAAGTTCCTTTGTTGCAGCCCCACAGGCGCTTTGGGCGAGACGGCAAGGCTTTGAAGCTGAGGGTGGCGACCGGGGACCTCGCCAGGCTGCAGAAGCAAAAGGACTGCCCGTGCACGGCTCACCTGACCTTCGAGTGCGCCTGCAGGCCGTGGACAGGCGACCTTCGCACGGAGCAAGAGCGGAGACAGCACACAGCAGTCGTCGACTTCGAGCCCTACGGCTTCGAGGCAGGGGACGACGAGGAGACCCACGTGGGCGAGTTGGCGGCGGCCTTGGCTACACTGGACGACGGCGTGCTGGTGGCAACAGACGGCGGAGCAAAGCAGCTGGGAGAACACTACGGCTGGTGGGCAGCGGCTTGGGCGGTGGTCGTTGACGGCAAGGCGTACTCAGGCCTGGTCAAGGGAGCTGAGAGAATGGCTGCGGCGGGCGAGAGCGGCTTTTCGTGTGCTCTGCCGGGCTGTCACGATGGCCCAAAAGAACGTCCGCGTGCTGGTGGACAACCTGCCTATCGTCCAAGGATGTGCGAGGCGGCGGGACTTCGACAGGGAGGACCGAGAGCTCTGGACTTTCTGGAGCGAGGTGAGGGCAGCGCTGCCCTTCCTGACGGTGGCGTGGATCCCCTCGCACGGTAAGCGGCGGGGGTGGAAGCCGCCAGATGGGTGGCCTTCTGCAGAGCAATGCAGGCAGCTGAACGAGGAGGCAGACGAGGCCGCAACTAAGCAACTGGGCCGGCTGAACTTGTGGTGGCAGCAGCTACGGCTACGGTCCCGTGTGGAGCTGGCCGAGGAGTGGACGTGGCAGGCTGTCAATGCCCAGCTTTCGGCGACGCAAGCTTGGCACGACTGCTTGAAAGAGGTGTTGCAGCAAAGGCGCCTTTTGCGCCGGACCGCCGCCAACTTACTCTGAGCGCCCCGCTTGGTGACCGGCGGGCGGCTACACCGTCGTCAGTGTGCCGTCCATTTCGACTACTACTACTACTACTGGGGATCTCGACGGAAGATGTTTGGGCGCTCTTTATGCCCCTCGCAAGGATGTTCGAGACTCCTTTTCGTGCTGCGAACACCATCGCGATCTCAAGGATCATGGATGCTGATCGAAGTGGTCTCATTGACTTGGAAGAGCACCTCGTCTGGATAGCTCGGTTGAACCAAGTTTGCGTAGAATGGCATGGTCAATGATCATGCCGAGGTTTGTCTCCGGCTGCATGAAGAAGCTTTGATCGCACTAGCTGCAGGATCGCTGTGTCCGCCACTTCCCACGCCTTTAGGTTGTGTGGGCCTGCCAAGAGCTTGCAGTTCGCCATGATGAGCTACGAGAACAAGCTTACGCGGCAGGCTCCCGGCTTGCAGATGGCAGTTTCCATATCGCTCATCGCTCAGAGTTTTTCAGTGCAGGCGATCAAGCAGCTCAACGTGGAAACTGCAGACATTCGGTGCAGTTTGGCCAGGCTGGAAGCGCGGAAGCTCGTCTGGACATCGCCTCGAAGCCTTGTACAGTAGGCTCAGTAGGCTCTTCGGTTGGCTTCTGGGTCGTAGGGCTCCTCTCGGCTCCGGCTAAGGGCTGCGCCCTCATTGCGGGAGCCCGTGGCCCTGAAAGTCGTGACGCAGCTCTGAGAGCGCAACGCAGATCCGTGAACAGCCTGGATACAAAGTCTTGCAGTGATTCTAAGTGTGCCGCAGTAGCGGCTAGAGTTCCAATCTCCTAGCTTCTGTGGGTAGGACCCAAAATTCACCGCCCGGTCGGTGCAGTTATTATGCTTTGCTGTGGCATTCCCAGCGGGCGCAGTCGAAGTCAATTGTCTCCAAGAGATGTTGCAGGCTGCCTGAAGATCCATTGCGAAAAGCTGCCTCTGTAGTTCGTGTCCTAGAATAGATGGACCTAGCAGGGTGCTTGGGGCTCAAAGAAAGAAATTGAGCTGCGAGTCGCGAGGCTGGGGCCCAGGCCCTGCATTCCGATGCTTGGAAGTCAGTTTGAGCGACTTCACCGGAGAGCCTACCCTCCCG